GGCAGGGCTGCCCATGGTGGACAGGTTTCAGCTGAGCTTTCAGACTAACACAGACTTGGAAGAAGGAGAGATGGACTACTTTTGAATGGTTAGCCACTGAAAACCGTACGAACAGCAGTGAAACACTGCTGGATAGCAGCAGACTATTAAATATTGAAACACAATGAATAGCAACAGAATATAGTGCAGGAAGATGAGCTCCTCAGGTTGGAAGGCACTCAAAATACACGACTGGGGAAGAACTGCTTCTCAAAGTAGATGTGACCACGATGACATAAACGGAGTAAAGCTTTCAGGACCTTAATTTGCTGATGGGGCACACTAAAAATGAGGAGAAACAGCTGTAAACATCAATTATTAATTGGAACGTGGAACTTCCAGAAGTTCAAGCCAGATTCAGATGAGGATATCATATGGATCTAGGCTGAAAGCAGACAATACTAGAAAGATGCTTACCTGTGCTTTATTGATTACACAAAAGCTTTCAACTATGTGGGTCATAACAAACAAAGGATAACCTTGAAGAAAATGAGTATTCCGGAACACTTAATTGTGCTCATGAGGAAACTGTACATAGACCAAAAAGCAGTCATTTGAAGGAAACAAGGGAACACTGATTGGTTTAAAATCAGGAAAGATGTGTGCTAGGGTTGTATTCTTTCACCTTATTTATTCTATCTGTATGCTGAGCAAACAATCAGAGAAACTGGATTATAAGAAGAACAACGTGGTATCAGGATTAGAGGAAGACCTACTAACAACCTGAGATATACAGAAAGCAAAGACGACTAAAAATATTTCTGATAAATATCAAAGTCTTTGTTAAAGGGTTGCACCTCAATGTAAAGAATATAAAAAATTCTCATCACATCAAGATAAATGGAGAAGTTGTCAGACTGTATTCTGCTTGGATACCTTATCAAAGCTCATGGAAGCAGCAGTGAAAAAACCAAACAGCATATTGCATTAGACAAATCTGCTGCACAAGACCTTAAGTGTTCAAGACTAAAGATGCTAGTTTGAGTATGAAGGTATGCCTGACCCAAGCCATGGTCTTTTCAATGGTCTTATACGCATGTGAAAGCTAGACAATGAATAAAGAAGACCATAGAAGAACTGATTCACTGGAGAAGAATATCAAAGGTTATCATGGCCTACCAGAAGAACAAATTGTGTTTAAAGTACAGCCAGAATGGTCCTTAGAAGCCAAGACAACCAGAATTCATTTCTCATACTTTGGACTAAGGAGAAGGGTATCATGCTTGGTAAAGTGGAGGGTCAGAGAAAAAGAGGGAGACCCCAATGAGAAGGACTGGCACAGTGGCAGCAGCGATGGGCTCAAGGGTAGTAGCAATTGTGAGGATGAAGCAGGACTAGGAAGTTTTTCATTCTGTTATGCATAGGGTCACTATGGATCGGAACTGACTCTAAGGCACCTCACAACAGATAAACAAGGTGTTTAAAAGGGAAAAAAGCATTGTTTTCATCTCTTAAATATCTTTAGAATCAGCTTACAAGTATTCAAATATAACAAGTATTCAAATGCTTCAAAAACAATTTTCTCTCCAACTATTACTATGCAACTATTTACATGGCCTCCGCAGAGAAAACCACCTCAAAAGAACCTGGTGATCTGCTGGTGTGGTGCAAATTACTATCTGGTAGCCTTTCAGACTCATCTCTCATGTCATAAGATCTATTTCCTACCCATCCTGGAATCTGACGCCCCATGAACAAATTACCACAACTAAACAGTGATGCTGCTACTGTTAAATTAGTGCCTTAATTTTTTGTTAAATTTAAAAACAATGACATCCTCATTCAACATTATTTGAAATCTCAAAATACCATAATCTCTGTTAAGATTTTGATATAATCCTTGCCTCCATTTTGAGCTCTTTGCAATTCTGCTATTTTGATACAGTTGCGTATTCAATAAACATTTATTAAGTGAATAAATGAATGAACCACCAAAAGCTCCAAGTGCCATCAAGTCAGTTCCAACTCATAGAAACCCTGTATAGAGTTTCCAAGGAAGGGCTGGTGAGCTTGAACTGCTGACCCTATAATCCAATCAACCTTGCAGTCCAGCGCTTATCCTATAACACTATACATATGTATGTTTAATACTAATAGCAGAAATTCTAGAAGTTTCTAAAGTAAAGAAAGGAGAGGGAATTACAAGTGGTCCTCCATCTACAATAGGTTCCATTCTCACAGCTCTATCTTTAGTTAGTTCTGAGTCAAGTCAAACACCTTTTTTTTTTTTAATTTTTCATTATCATTGCCCTTTAATCCATACCTTTATAATAAACCCTATCTTTATTTGTCTTTGAAGGTTGAAAACATTACGTATAAATTTTTAAGCTATGCGCATCATCATAGTCAAGTCTACTTTGAGGAGGCTGCTCTTCCCCAGTCGCATTTTGAGTGTCTTCCAACCTGAGGGGCTCATTTTCTGGCATTATATCGGACAGTGTTTCTCTGCTCTTCATAAAGTTTTCAGTGACTACATATCGGAAGCAGTTCGCCTCTCCTTCTTCCTAGTCTGTCTTCATCTGGAAGCTCATCCGAAACCTGTCCACTGTGGGTGACCCTGCTGGTATTTAAAATACCTGTGGCAAAGCTTCCAGAATCTCAGCAATTCACAAGCCACCACAGTACAACAAAATAACAGATGAGTGGTGGTTTGATAAATTAAACCTCATTAAAATGAAAATCTTTTTCTCAGTACAAGTCCTCATTAAAATGGGAAGACAAATGACAGAACAGAAGAAAATATTTACAAACCACATATCTAGCAAAGGATTAGTACATAAAATGCATTTTAAAAAAATTCTTGCGGTAAAGTGGATTTACTTGATATGACTTCACAGTTTTTGTAACTCCCACAAAATTGTTTGGGTTGTTGTTGTTAAGTGCCATCTATCTAGTCAGCTGCGACTCATTGCAACCCTTTATAGGGTTTCCGAGGAGTGGCTGATGGCTTGTGTTTAGCAGGCCAGTGGTTTTCCTAAAATGTCACAAGCAAATAGGGTGTACAGAACTCTAACTCTGGGATTGGTCGGTTTTGCCATTCCACTGGATTTAAAAAGAGAAGCAGAAACAGACAATGCCAGGACCATCAAGAAAGAAGAGTCATGAACAGAACTTGGAAATCCCTGTGTAGAAAAGCTGCGGCAGCAGACAGTGGTATGGTGAGAAAAGACAGGGCTTCCCAGCCCACAGAAGCTGAACACCTTTGAGAGCAGGAGGCTGGATGTAGAATAAACCCTTTGGGCATTTATCTGCAGTGCTAAAGGAGCTTTGTAACACTTGCCAGAGCAGAGCAGAGGTCAAGGGGCCATATGGCTCAGAGGCCAAGGATGAGAGCGGTCCCTTTGATATAGCTGAGAAGAGGCACTCCTGACAGGAAAAATGCTATATCCTGAGTTGCTTCTGATCCTGAATTCTACCCTATTTGCTTCCTTAACAAACCCCATAATTATGACTATTGTTGGTGAATTCTGTGTGTCCGTTGATAAAGATCATCAAACCCAGCAGAGAAGTGTAAGAGTGCTGTGGGAGGGACAACTGGTGTCAGAACAGGATAAAGAAGGTTGAAGGGTAAAGGTATGTCTGATCACTACTTCATAAGAATCAGCCTTGGGCTGATTTTGAGTTGATTCTCCTTCTCCCTTGTGAAATCAGAGAACGTCAGACATGGTCCCTACACTACTTTTACAATGCTCAAAACTAAACGAGAAGAAACGTTAATTCAATTAGAACATGGCCAGAAGACATAAAGGGGCATTTCACTGAAGAGGCTATAAAGCTGTCAAATAAACATGTGAAAAAATGTTCAATGCCATGAATTATTAGAGAAATAAAAACTGAAACCACAATTAAATATCACTACACACTTATCACAATGGCTAAAATGAAAAAAGAACAATAACCCCAAATGCTGGCAAGGCTGCCCAGAACTCACACATACATTGTTGGTAGATATGATCCAGCTACTCTAGAAAACAATGAGGCAGTTTCTTTTAACACTAAATATGTAAAATGAAGATACGTGTTCACACCAAAACCAGTATACAAATGTTTTTTAGAATTTTTGTAACAGCCAAAAACTGTAAACAACCCAACTATCTTTCAACAAATGGTGATCCATTCATAACAAAAAATTCTACTTTTGTTGCTGTTAGGTCGATTCTGACTCATAGAGACCCTAAACAACAGAACACAACATTGACCAGTCCTGTCCCAGCCTTACAATTGTAGCTACATTTAAGATTAAAAAGAAAGAATTACTGAAACATGCAACAACTTGGGTGAATCTCCAGAGAACTGTGCTGAGTTAATTTATTTTAAAGTCACAAAAAGTTATACACATTGTACGATTCCACTCTTGAAATGACAAAATACAGAAATGGAGAAGAGGTAAGTAGTTGCCAGGATTAAAGAAAAAGTACATGGGGAGGGGGGCAAGAGAGAAGTTGTTATTGTTATGTGCCGTGGAGTCGGTTCCGACTCATAGCAGCCCTGTACAGGGTTTCCAAGGCTGTAAATCTTTATGGGAGCAGAAGGCCTCATCTTTCTCCCAAGTAACAGCTGGTAGTTTCAAACTGGTAACCTTGAGGTCCACAGCCTGAGTCATAACCACTACGCTAGTAGGTATGGCTATAAAAGGACAATATTGTCATCAGTCATGGATGTGGATGGGCAGTTTAATATAACCAGAGTATAGATAATTTTTGACTCACCCTTGTATTTCTTCTATCTGAATGTGAACTTAGAATGATCTCAAAAGAATAAGTTGAATTTTAAAAACTGAATAAAGGAAAAACCAATAATGTGACCAGAGAGAAAATTTCAATCGATATATGGCAGCAGAGGACATAATTCAGGATTCACAAACATTACTTTAAGAACTATAAAACAAATCCCTCTGACTGCTGTCATATCACAACTATTCTTCTGCGACTCACTTCCTAAAGCTAAGCATTTCAGCTCACCTTCCACGCTGTCAGAACAGGAAGTTCCAATGCCAGTGTCTCCACTGTCAGAAGTGATACTCTGTCTTCTGGTATGGTTATTTCGATGGTTAGATGGAACAGTCGTGGCCTGCCACAATGATTCATTACCAGGTAGCCATGCTGACGAAGAACAATCTGGGCCTAGAAAAGAACATATCCAATAGTTAATGCACATATCTAATGTCTGTGAGTAGGTCAGGGCATGAGTGGTTCAGTGGTAGAATTCTCCCCTCCCAGATTCAATTCCCAGCTAATGCACCTCCAATGCTATCACACCTGTCATGGTCCCCCTGCTAATCAGTATGAAAATCTGTCCATTATCAAAAAAATCTTTGGCAATATAAAATGGGGTTCCAACTCATAATGACTCTGTATAGAGTTTCTGAGGCTGTAAATCTTTTGGGGAGCAGAAAGCTTCATCTTTTTCCTGGGGAGTGACTGGTTGATTCAAACTGCTGACCTTGTGGTTAGGAGCCCAGGGATTTTGTTATTGTTATTAAGTGCTATGAAGTCAGTTCAAACTCACAACAACCCTATATAGGGTTTCTGAGGAGCAACTGGTGGGTTGAACTACTGACCTCATGGTTCAAACCAACCTTTCAGTCCTGTCCATTATCCTGCAGCACCACACCAGGACTCCTAATGCTAGTCTTGAAATGGTTCATACGCATCCCATAGCCTCATTCCTAGAGAAATAACCTCGCATTTAGGGAAATGGAGTTCTAGACAAAAGACAGATAGATCCTTAAGCATTATTTCCAACAAAAAAGAATTAAAAATAAGACCAAAAAGGGGGAGGGAACAGAATTGTGGCCATTTAAATAATATTAATGACGAGAATCTCAAAGTTTTTAAAACTATTTACTCTGCCATCCCCAGTGAGAGGCTATAAAAACTTGATAAATAAGAAATTCACAAATAACCTCAAATTTCATATTGTCTAAGAATTCTCTTATTTTTGCCTCTATCTGGCTACCTGTCTTCCTTCTAAACTGTAGTAATACTCCATATTGCAGTTAGTACCACATATCCAGTTCTTTCCTTTGTGCTTCACTGAGCATATAATAAAGACTGAAACAAAACTGTATAGAACTGGAAGGCGATACAACAAAATACTACTAGTAATTTTCTTTAGATGGTAGGATTACAGAGATTTCTTTTACCTTTATCATTTTATTTTCCTTTAACTTATCACAGTTAACACTGATAAATCAGAATTAAAAAAAAACAAAAAACAGTATGTATAGAAAATCCCTCACTACTAAGAAACTCAGGAGTCATGGCATGGCAATGTAAGCAGAGACTACTAACCAAAAGATTGCTAGTTCAAGTCCACCAACCACTTCTCAGAAACCTATATAGAGCAGCTCTGAGTCAGAAACAACTCAATGGCACTTAACAACAATTAATCAACCCTGATGTGGAGTTGTAGGATAAGCACTGAACTACTAATCATAAGGTTGGTGATTCAAACCCATCAGCTGTTTCTCAGAATCAACTTGATGGTACACCACAACATATTAACAATATTATCCCATCAGAACTTACCTTTTAAATCAGTAAGACATTTTAATTTGCTTATGAGGGTCTTGCTAAACTTTTTTGCTAAAAAGTTTTTGCTAAATTTTCCTTTTTGTCTTAACTTTTAAACACAATCAGTTCTTTAAAAAAAAAAAAAAGATTCAGTATAAGTTATGTACTTAGAACACAAAAGATGATGAACAAATGTCATGAATAAAATAACAGTCTCATCTTAAATTTGGATTGAGTGAATTCACAGTCAGAAAGGAATGACAGGTTTTGTTTCAGGGCAAGTCAATCCAGCCTCACAAAGCAGGAAGCAGGCAAAGACAGAAGCACTGCTGTATGAACAGCAAAGATCCCTGGAACTTCTCTCTGGAAAAAAATGTCAAGTGTTTCAATAGTAATTTAAATTCTTTTAAATAGAATACCAAATGCCAGGGACCACCAAAAAAATTATTAGTATTTCTCAAACTCTAAATAGAAGATTAGCACTGAATGAAGAAGCAACCTACTGTATTTTTCTTTTTGAAGCTTTTTTTAAATGGAAGCAAAAATGGATACAGTACTTATGCCTTCCATAATGTTAATATAGCTATAATTGCACATAGAAAAACTAATCCTACTGAATTTTTAAATGACTACTCCAAGTCAGAATAAAGTAAAAACAACACCATAGACAAAACTTTCACATAAAAAGATGCAAACAATAGAAATCCTGACTACAGAATGCAGGTTACAAGCCATTACCTATTGCCATTGAGTCAATTCTGAGGCATGCTATTAAGTGCCATCAAATCAGGTCCACTCACAGCAACCCTAAACAGGGTTTCCAAGGAGAGGCTGGTGGGTTTGAAGCACTGATCTTGTGATTAATAGTTCAGTGCTTATCCTATAGCACCACAGTGACCCTATATTTGGTTTCTGAGACTGTAAATCTCTATACGACCAGACAGTCTTATCTTACTCCCTTAGAGCAGCAGGTAAGTTTTAACTGCCATCAAGTCCATGATGATTCCTGGTTTCTGAGACTGTAAATCTTTACAGGAGTAGGAAGTCTAATCTTTCTTCCTCAGAGCAGCTGGTGGGTTGGGATTGCTAACCTTGTGGTTAACAGCCCAATGTCTAACAGTTACAGCACAGCTCTTTTATAACCCATTGTTGTCAAGTGCTGTGAAGTAGGTTCCAAGTCATAGCAACCCTGTATAAGTTTTTAAGGAGCTGTTGATGAGTTTGAATCGCCAACCTTGTAGTTAGCAGCCCGGTGCTTATCCTACAGTGCCATCAATTTATTTCACTCAGAACAACTCTGTTTTAATGAAATACAACAGAACAAATTAAAAGCACCAAAGAGCATTTACCCTTATATGACATCAGATGCACATTACTTCACAGTTTACTAACTCTGAAATGTTAAAAAGTACAAAATACTTTTGAACAAAGTTTAGACACTGGTCTTTAATTGCCCCAATTCTACATTAAAAATAAAAATCAATGTACAACTAAACTACTGAGGCATAAATCCAGGGAATACAACAAAAAAAATGTCCCCCTTCACTTACATCTAATCCGTTTCTGAAATTCTCCATTCCATTTCTAGAGTAATAGCTCTTTCCACTCCATCCCCACTGTCACAGACCTTATTTTTTGCTACAACAATCTCCTGGAGCCTAGTTTCCTGCTAGAATGCCAATCAACCCTTTGCCTCTACCCTATCAGAATTATTGTCTTAAAATCAAGTATGTTTGTCATTCTCCTACTTCCATATACTTGTGTGTTATTTACTGCATATTAATTAAAACTCAAACGTCTAAAGTTTGGCAGAATGTACTTCACCAACTGGCAGCATCATTTTCCAACTTTGCAAACCTTACCATCCCTGGTCCTACCTCTCCCTCTACACACACTCTCCCACCACACTTACCTAATCATAGCCTTCACATAGGCGTTTTCATGGCTCCAAACTGTCTCCTGTACCTACCTTCTTTATGAGTCTCAGTCCTGACTTAACCTACTGTAGCTGTCCTTCCCTGATTCTTCTAGGTGGTATTATATAACTACTACTTTGTGTGCTCCCACTATATTATTCAAAATTCCATTACAGCACTTACTAATTATATTAACCCACATGTATATGACTGTCTTCTCTCTCACTCAACTGCAGACAGTGAAGACAGACAACTTTTTTCTATAGTCTCCAGCATCTAGCACAAAGCAGCACAGTTAAGTACGATCTCAGTAAGTGTAGTTACTATTGCCATTGGACACCCAGTAACTGCTCCTGTAGTAAATTTAGACTATTAGGAGCCTTATAATTAGGGCTACAAATTAAAGCAAGGGTGTTTTTGGTAGTGGTTGTCAGTTTATTTTTAAGGACAGCCCATTTTAAACTATTCCTTGAGCCACTTTGCATGTAAGTATCTATTAAAAGGTCAGTAAATATTATCAAAACAGTCCCTCAAAAAATAATAATAATAATTTAAAATATTTTAATGGTTGATGGCCCAAACTCTTAATAAATAAGAAAGTGTCTTCAGTTAGGTCAAAATATACCAAAAAGTCACCAAAAAAAGTAGTAGAACATTAAATCACAAAAGACAGAAGAATGTTCATATTAATGGTGGTGGTAGTTCTGTGCAGTGGAGCCGGTTCTGATTCATAGTGACCCTGCATAAGGTTTCTGAGGCTGTAAATCTTAGTCTCATCTTTCTCCTGTGGAGCAGCTGGTAGATTCGAACTGCTGACCTTACAGTTAGCAGTCCAACGCATAACCCACTACAGTAGCAGAGTTCCTTTTTTGCACTAATAATAGTCAGAAAACCCAACTAAAATAAGGTATCATTCTTCTCCTAAGGGGGTAAAAAGTCATACTGTTAAGATTGAACTGTGTCAACCAAAAACATGTGCAACAAAAATTCTATGCTTGTGGTTATAATCTCATTTGGAAATGGGTTGTCCTTATTATATTAATAAGGCAGGACCAGTAGGGAGTATCTTGAACTATGAAAGAGATTAAACAAGGAAGCAGAGATGGTAGAAGACAGATGCCAAGCAATATGAAGGTCACCCATGAGCCAAAGCTCAAAAGAAACAAGGGCCTTCCTCCAGAGCTGACCGAGAAAGCCTTTCCATCGAGCTGGTACTCTGGATTAGGACCATAGCCCTTTAAACTGTGAGACAATAAATGCCTGTTAAAGCCATCCATTTGTGGTGTTTCTGTTATATCAGCACTAGGTAAGTAAGCTACTGAGAAATTATACTGAGGTTAGAAAATAATGCTCCTTTATAGTACCTTTTGTAAAACCATTCCTGGAAAAATGCAGGGTAAAACTTTAAAATAGTCACACTCTTATACTCTTCTCTGGGGACTTAAAAATTATCCCAAATATGATAAAAGTACAAAAATGTTCAAAATTACATTATAATACCAAAAAAGAAATAACCACCTCCCTCTTCTTGAGCATTAAGTAAATTATCAACATAATACATAATTAAATATAATTTTTAAACTTTTATGAAGAATATGATTATCACACAGGAAAACCCCTGATAAAATAATAAAAATGTAGGTTACAAAGTTATAAGGTTGTTGGTGTTTGGGGTGTGTGTGTGTGTACACG